TTCAGGCAGCTACTCCTACCTGTAACTCCAGGAGATCCAATACTTGGGCATGTGTGCGCACACACTAAAATATACTAAATTGCACATGATGTAATTTAGAATACTTTATTATTTGTGTATAAGTGTAATTTAGAATACTTCTTTATTATTTGTGTATCTGCACTTGCGATTGGATGTACATATGCTGCCCACACACAAGCAGGTGCCCACAAGAGGCATTGGGTTCCCTGGAGCCTGTGATGCAGATGTTGGGAACCAAGCTCCGATCACCACAAGGGCTCTTAGCGGCTGACCCATCTCTCCAGCCCTTTATTCTCACTTGGAATGAGGTTGGACTCCCTGAAGGTCATGCTGAGTCATTTTAAAATACACTGTTATTTTCCTTCTAATGATCTCCCAGTTCAAGGACCAACCATGGACTTGAAGCTGTTTCTCCTCATAACCTGGAAGGGTAGCTGTGGGTCAGCTCCTTCCCCTGAGCTAACGGGGTTGATTCTATTTATCCCATTGTTTGCAATGTTATGGTCACTCAGCGAGTTACCATTAATAAGTTTTAACAAATAATAGGCTTTTATTTAGATATTGGAACCACGACTGGCTGGCATCTGGTACCAGGACTACACCTGAGAACTCTCCCAAGACAAAAGCCTCTAGCTATGTCAGTTAGGAGTTTATAACAACAAAACCCACCAAGTTACAGCTTTGGAGTTGGGTTAGCTTATGTCCTGTTTTGTGTAAGCAGGACTTGGACTTTGGCATGGATGTTTGCAGATGCCCTTCAGTTATCTTTTTTTTTTTTTTTTTTTTTTTTTGGTTTTTTTCGAGACAGGGTTTCTCTGTGGCTTTGGAGGCTGTCCTGGAACTCGCTTGGTAGTCCAGGCTGGTCTCGAACTCACAGAGATCCTCCTGCCTGTGCCTTCCGAGTGCTGGGATTAAAGGCGTGCGCCACCAACGCCCGGCCCTTCAGTTATCTTGAGCAAGCGAGTAAGCAGTTTTTACAAAATCAGAACTATCCATTATTTCCTAAGATCTTTTATCTTGTAAGAACAACTGAGGCAGTAAAAGATTTTACAAGACTGGACAGTTTTTAAGAATATTCCAACATGCCGGGCGGTGGTGGTGTACACTTTTAATCCCAGCACTCGGGAGGCAGAGGCAGGCGGATCTCTGTGAGTTCGAGGCTGGGCTGGACCGACAGCCTCCAAAACAACACAGAGAAACCTTGTCTCATAAAAACCAAAAAAAGAAAAAAAGAAAAAAAAGAATACCCTAACAATTCCAGGAAAGGGAGAGTGGGCTGACAGGGCGCAGCTTGAACAAGCTAGGGCTTTACATACCAGAGGCATTTTTGTTTCATTATATATATCGAAGGGACTGTAGCCAGTGCAAGTATATCAAACACAGCCCTGGTAGGCTCTACTCTTCTCCCAATTCCCTCTGTGTTGCTAAAAATCATTGTTGTGCCCAAGTTGTTGTGCCCAGAGACCACCAGGAAGACAGACCCACCAAACTGCAAAAGCAAGGTTTTAATTGTTTAACCACCCACGACAGGGACCCTGCCTAGCAAGCTGACACAGCAGCCTCCAGAGGGACTGAAGTTCCCTGTCTACTGCTAGGTTTTAAAGACAAAAGTCACAGGATTACATCAGTAGGTACAGGTTGGTTTCTGATTGGCTGACATTTGGGAACAATCAGGAGCATTTCTCAAAGTCATATTTTGGCATGAAATACCCATGTACCAATTATTTTTATTGGCCAGTGTTGAGAGGGAACATTCTGTGTTTTCTATGACATTGTCTTGTTACTTGCAGGTGGCCTGTTGTACATAGATACCAATAGTTTTCAGAACTATATCCTGGAGACTACAGGGGAGGTGTTGGTCCCCCTGGAGTTTCTTTTGTGGTCACAGTTCCCAGGAACCCAGTATCTAGGAGTCTGTGTGTGTGTGTGTGTGTGTGGGTGTCTGGAGTTTCTTTGTGTTCAGTTTTGGCCCTAGACTCTGGGAGGCCAGAGGATCTGGAGTTTCCTTGTGTCAGAGGTCTATGTATCTTTTCTGTAGCCTGTCATGGCTACTAAGCAGGGGGTGCTGAGCGAGGGTCTGGTCCCTTTATTTTTAAATTATTAGAAGTGAAGCCACTGAGTTGAGTTTATCCCTTTCACCATTAGGTTACATTCCTAAAGCTGCCACCAAGGTTTGTTCCCTTATTTGGCCACTTCCTCCTTCTGAGGCTGAATACCAAGGTCCAGATTGAAATCCAGTAATCAAAAGCCCCTTGGCTGCCCTAGTTAACATGCCCAATTAAAATTAAACACCTCATCCTAACCGGGGGTTCCCCCTTTACCTTTGTAAACCGCCGTTTCTCTGTTTGCCACGTCTGTCTGCTCTGTATCCGGAGACAATTCTTTGTCCTCCACTGGGGAACAAATACCCCTTTCCCGTTTCCTTCCCCTCTCTCTGTCTTCCTATTCCCCGCCCTCTGTCCCTCTGGGGCAAAGACATCTCCTCTGTGCTGAGAACTTGCTCTTGGGGTATCCCGAGCCTTACGGATCCCTGAAGGATAGAGATTAAAACCTTAAATGCAAAGTTAACTGTGACTTTTCATAGCCTGGATTTGGAACACTGGGTGTGGTTTCTCTAAACTCTCCCGGTGGGGCAGGGCGGGGCAGGGCGGGGCCGGGCGGTGGTGGCTCAAACCTTTTTTTTTTTTTTTTTTTTTTTTTTGGCTCAAGCCTTTAATCCAGCAGATCTTTCTGAATTCCAGGCCAGCTAGAGAGAGTTCCGGGACAGCTGGGGCCACACGGAGAAGCCCTGTCTAGAAAATAACAACAATAACAATCAAACAAACAACAACAACAACAAAAGAAACAAAAACACACATCACTGAGCACACTGGAAACAAGGGAAAACGACAAACTGGGCTCAAAGAAAATGTTAAAATGTTCCTCACACCAGGCATTGTGGTACCCACCTTTAATCCCTGTAATCCTAGCGCTCTAGAGGCAGAGGCAGGAGGATCTCTGTTAATTTGAGGTCAGCCTGGGTTACGAGTAAAGTTCCAGGTCACATAGGTCTACATAGTGAGTCCCTGTCCCTGCCTGGTGAAGTTTTTTTTTTTTTTTCCTCTCGAGGCAGGGTTTCTCTGTGACTTTGGAGGCTGGCCTGGAACTCGCTCTGTTGACCAGGCTGGTCTCGAACTCACAGAGATCTGCCTGCCTCTGCCTCCCGAGTGCTGGGATTAAAGGCGTGCGCCACCAACGCCCGACACCCGGTGAAGTTTTGTAAAAATTAAAAATTTAAAACATTTATTGTTATTATTATTTTTTAACATTTTCTGCATTTAACCAATCCTTTTTAGTAAAGGATTTCTCAATGCAACTGCTGGATCAAGCAGAGATCTATTTGCCTCTGCCTCCCGGATGCTGGGATTAGAGGCGTGTGTCATCCCTGCTCAGCTCCTAATCACAGTATAAAAACCCGGGCTATCTCAGTCTGTAGCGCAGTCGGTCCTTATCTCTAGTGTTTACATCTTTGGTCCACACGCTCCGAAACAACCCATATCTAAAGGAGATCTGCAGATTAACACTCCCAGAGAGGATTTGAGATGATTCTGTTTAAATTTTCAAGCCCTTCAACGCCATGGACACAGTCTTGGGATGAATACCCTGCTCCAGAGGCTTCGATGTCAGGTGAGCTAAGGGCCGGAGCCCGGGAGGGAAACGAGGCCGGCCGTGGCTGCTTCAAATGGAAGGTGTTCGATTTGGGGTCCACAACTAGGTCCCATCATGGATTTCTGTTTCTCCACGTCTTTCGTAACCCCTGCTACCGTGTTGCCTCCTGTTGTTTCCTTTGCCTTCTGCGGGTAGAACCCATGGTATTGCGTGTGCTAACTCCCGAACCCTGCACGCCCCTCCTGCCTTCTGTTCAAACATTTAATGAATCACAAGTATTGTGTGTGTGTGTGTGGGGTGATTTCGAGCATCCCTGGAGGCCAGAAGAGGGTGAGGGATCCCTTGTGAGCCGGAGGTCGTGGGTGCTGGGAACCAAACTGGACTCCTTTGCAAGAGGGGAGTGTGATCTATTCCGGTGTCCTTAGAGTTACAGGCGGTCGTGGACCCTGCTGGGAACGGAACTGAGTTCTCTGAAAGTGCAGCAAGTGCTCTTAACGACAGAACCATTGCTACAATCCCATCGAATATTTTAAAAATACGTTTACTTAAAAAATATATTTTTCTATCTCCTGCTCTACAACTGAAAACGATTGTATTATCCATTAGTGTGTATTAACAAAATAACGATTCTCATATTTTTATACACATTGGATCGTATTAGTCCCCTACTGTGGTCTCCAAGTCACCTTTCACCTTTTTCTCTGCCTCTGGTGCTCTCTCTCTCTCTCTCTCTCTCTCTCTCTCTCTCTCTCTCTCTCTCTCTCTCTCTCTCTCTCTCTCTCTCTCTCTCCTCCTCCCCCCGTTTTTGTTTTTGTTTTGTTTTTTGAGACAGGGTTTCTCTATGTGGTCCTGGCTCTTCTGGAACTCACTCTATAGACCAACGCTCCTGACCCTCCTGTCTCTGCCCACTCCCCAAGGGCTGCCATCATGCCCCACTTACTTATCTTTATTTTTAGTCTAGGGGTTTTTTGTTTGTTTTTTTGAGGCAGGGTTTCTCTGTGGCTTTGGAGGCTGTCCTGGAACTCACTCTTTAGACCAGGATGGTCTTGAACTCACAGAGATACCCCCCTCGCTCCCCCCAAGTGCTGGGATTAAAGGAGCACACCACCATCACCCAGTTTAGTTATTATTTTTATTTTCTCTATTTTCTTATTTTTAGTTTCTCTCTTCTGAGAGAATTGGTGTTTTTGCGAGTCCAGCTTATTTAGCTTAACGGAATGGCCTCCTGTTCAACTCAGTTGCCTGCACATGTGCCCAAATAAAACTTCCCAGTTTTATCCAATGTAATCATTTCCTTCATCCACGGACTCACTGGTGGACACCTAAGCTGATTGCATCTCCTGCCTCTGTGAATACGACCACAGTCAGCAGGATATTCAGAGAACCCTCCAGCATTCTGATGTCCATCCCTTTGGCCTGTGGTGAGGAATGGTACAGATGAACTACCCAGTAATCACCCTCATGTTCTGAGGAGTTCCATACTGCTTCCTAGTGGCCACACTGATTTACACTTCCACTGATAGTGTAGAGAGACCCTTCCCCCCTCATCGGCATCGGCATTTGTGCTCGCCTCTTCTCTCTCTCTCTCTCTCTCTCTCTCTCTCTCTCTCTCTCTCTCTCTCTCTCTCTCTCATTAGCTGGTCCTGGTGGCACACACCTTTAATCCCAGTGCTTGGGAAGCAGAGGCAGGCAGACCCCTGAGTTCCAGGTCAGCCAGGACTACAGTGGGTCTGTCTCAAATCAAAACAAAACAGAGGCAGAGTCTCAGTATGGAACTTTGCTGTCCTAGAACTCACTCTGTACACCAGGTTGGCCTCAAATTCACAGAGACCCGCCTGCCTCTGGCTCCTGAGTGCTGGAATTAAAGGTGCCCCACCACTGCCTGGCCAGGATGGGTTTTCTAACCTCAAATGATTCAGATTTAGGGTGGGTCTCTAAGAATCTAGTTAAAAAATCCCTCACAGGTGTGCCCAGCTGCTTGGGTTTTAGTTAACTCCAGATGTAGCCAGGTTGACAGCCAAGAGGAGCTGTCAGGAGGTTGTATAGAGTGCTTGCTTGCACCTGTGTCTGCGTTGTGAATACATCACAACTTCTTCAACCGGAGCTATAGATAGTCATGAGCCACCATTTCAGTGCTGGGAACCAAACTGGGGTCCTCTGCACAAGCAGCAAGTAGCTCAGATGCTAGAGTGCTTGCCTCTCTCCAGGCCCAGGTTTTATTATTTTTAAATGATATTAATATGCATGTCTGTGCCTAAGTGTGTGCGTGAGTGCAGGTGCCTATGAAGGCTGGAAAAAGGCAGAGAGTGTGAGTCACCAGTCAGGGCTGGGAACTGAACTCTGGTCCTCTGTAAGAGCAAGTAGGTATTGCTAACTGTTGTGCCCAAGTTGCAAAGTCCCCAGAGACCACCAGGAAGACCCACCAAACTGCAAATGCATGGTTTAATGGTTGTTCATCCAACCATGACAGGGACCCCGTCTGGCTAGCTGACACAGCAGCCTCCAGAGGGAGTGAAGTTCCCTGTCTACTGTTAGGTTTGAATGACAAAAGTCACAGGATTACATCAGTAGGTACAGGTTGGTTTATGATTGGTTGACATTTGGGAACAATCAGGAGAATTTCTCAAAGTCATATTTTGGCATGAAATACCTGTGTACCAATTATTTTTATTGGCTGGTGTTGAGAGGGACCATTCTGTGGTTTCTATGGCATTGTCTTGTTACTTGCAGGTGGCCTGTTGCACGTAGACACCAATAGTTTTCAGAACTATATCCTGGAGACTACAGGGGAGGTTTTGGTTCCCCCTAGAGTTTCTTTTGTGGCCAAACAGTTCCCAGGAATCAAGCATCTAGGAGGCTGAGGTGGGGTCTGGACTCTCTTTGTGTTCAGTTTTGGCCCTAGACTCTGGGAGGCCAGAGGATCTGGAGTTTCCTTGTGTCAGAGGCCTACGTGTCTTTTCTGTAGCCTGTCATGGCTGCTAAAGCAGGGGGCTGAGTGAGGGTCTGGTCCCTTTATTTCTAAATTGTTAGAAGTGCACCCTTGAGTTGAATTTACCCCTTTCACTAACCACGGAGCGGTTTCTCCAGCCTGTCATTGTTTGTTCTTATTTGTATTTTCCTGATGGCTAGAGATGCTGACTACGTACGTTTCCTTTTGATTATTGGTCATAAACTTCGAGATGACTGCCTCAGCCTCCCAAGTGCTGTGGTTATTGGCATGTATTACTGTGCTGTGCCCACCCTGGGATATTTAAAAATAAAAGGGTCAAGATAGCTTGTGAGTAAATGTGTTGCCACCAAGCCTGTGACCTGAATTCCGTTTTTGGAATTTTTTTTGTTGTTTTTGTTTTCTTGGTTTTTACAAGACAGGGTTTCTCTGTATTGTTTTGGAGGCTGTGGTCCAGCCCGGCCTCGAACTCACAGAGATCCGCCTGCCTCTGCCTCCCAAGTGCTGGGATTAAAGGCGTGCACCACCACCGCCAGCCTTGTAATTTAAGAATTTTTAAAATGTTCCTAGTGGTGGTGATACTTACTTTTAATCCCAACACTTGGGAGGCAGGGGGAGGGGCAGGGGGAGGGGCAGAGGCAGGTGGATCTCTGTAAGTTTGAGGCCAGCCTGGTCTACAGAGCGAGTTCTAGGACAGCCAGAGCTATATACGTCTTGAAAAACAAGCAACCAAACCAAACATTTTAAAACAAAAGTGTTCCCACCTCTCTGTTCAGCAGGACAGCCGCTGCATGACCACCAGTATTGCACCATATTCAGCCTGGAACAGATCAAGGTACTCCAAGAAGCCTTCAACAACAACATGTGCCCATCGAAGGAGGGGATCCAGGAACTTGCTTCAAGGCTCCAGCTGAAGGACGTGGTCGTGAAGGTTTGTATATGGGCCAACCCAGAAGGGCTTTGCCATTGTCATTTAAAGCTTTGAGGTTGCTTATTTTACATGCCTGCCCGCTTGTTTGCATGTGTGTCCCTGCTGCCTGAGGAGGCCAGAGAGGCTGTCATATCCCACGGAGCCAGAGTCACAGCTGGTGGTGTGGGGAGTAGAACCGGAGTCCTCTGCAAGAGCAGCAAGTGCTCCTAACCACTGAACCATCCTCCGGTTGCATCCCCTCCCTCCTTTCCAGTGTTCTGTTTGCTTTTGTTTTCCTGAGACAGGGTTTCTCCATGTAGCCCTAGCTGTCCTGGAACTCTGTATTGTTTTGGAGGCTGTCCTAGAACTCGCTCTGTAGACCAGGCTGGCCTTGAACTCACAGAGACCCATCTGCCCCTGCCTCTCCAGCGCTGGGATTAAAGGCGTGTGCAGCCACCGCCTGACCCTTTTGGTTTGGTGAAAGAACATGTCTTATATCTAACGCCAGTCTCGATCTCTGGATCGTTTACTTTCTTAAGTGCTGGGATTGCAGGCACGTGCCATCCCATGCCTGATTTTAAAGCAGGAATTGATATTGCTTTATTCTGGAGACAGGGTTTCACTGAACTTGCTCTGTGGGTCAGGCTGGCCCAGAATTTACAGTTACTTCTGCTTCTGCCTCCTGAGTACCAGGATTAAAGATGAGGGCCCCTTGCCTCACCTTCAATATGTTTTGTACCATCAGTGTTAGGGGTTTCTCTGTAGCTTTGGAGCCTGTCCTGGAACTCGCTCTGTAGACTAGGGTTGGTCTTGAACTCACAGAGATCCGCCTGTCTCTGCCTTCCGAGTGCTGGGATTAAAGGCGTGCACAACCGCTGCCTGGCCTCCTTCAACGTTTTTAACAGTTCCTGTTCATTGACAGTGGTATTGCCCAGGCATGGATGCTAGACACTGGGTGGCTTTATTTCATGGCCACACATTTTATTGTAGTACACTAAGACTCTCCTAGAAGATTATAAATACAAGATCCATAGTTTGAACCCAAGCCTTTCTGGCCCCAGGTCACAGGGCTAAATAAGACTCTTTCTTAAAGGGGTGGGTTTCTTTATTCTCTTGTGTTGTGTTGATAAACCCCCCCCCACACAAATTTAGCCCAGGCTGGCCTCAAACTTACATAGCTAAGGGTGACCTTGAACTTCTAACCTTCCTGCCTCCACCTTGAAAGTGCTGGGCTCACAAGTGTGTGCCACCACTTATGGCCCAGAAGATTGTCCTTGACAGTCTGAACTGTCTTAGTGTCTTGTGATCTAGGGTTACCACTAAGAGTCCCACACCACCTACCTTCCAGGCTAGAAAGAACACATTTAGACAAGGCTGAGGATATTAGTAACTAGCTTTCTCATGCCCACACCCCATTCCTGAGGATTGTGCATTTCTCCTTTGGACTAGTCCCGTTATTAACATGCTGTCAGGTTAACAGTAATGGGTTCAGTTGGTAGAGTGATTGCCTTGAGTGCACAAAGACTTGAGTTCTATTCCTGGCACAGAATCTATTCATGCTGTCTCAAAAAAAAACCTAAATAAGAGATGAATTTCTGAGTCTGAACACATGGTTTAGTGGTTAAGAGCACTGGCTTCTCCTGCAACAGATGTGGGTTTAATTCCCAGCACCTATATAGTGGCACACATCTACCTGTAACTCCAGGTTGAGGGGATCTAATGATCTCTTCTGGTCTCCATGAACATTGCAGTCATGTGGACAGAAACATAATTAAAAATAAGAATATAAAACCAGGCATGGTGGTGCACACCTTTAATCCCAGCACCCAGGAGGTGGAAGCAGGTGGATCTCTGTGAATTCTAGGACATCCTGGTCTACAGAGGAGTTCCAGGACAGCACAGAAAAACCTTGGGTCAAAAAACCCAATATATTTGTAGTCTTCCTGCCTGCTGCCTGGGTCCCGCAGCTGTCTCAGCCCCCAAATAGCACATGAAACACCTTATTAATTATGAAGCTGTTAAATGTCTGCTTGATTTCTTATTGGCTACCTCTGACTTAATTATTAACCCATAACTGCTAATCTGAGTGTTTCCACATGGTCTTCTCTCACTGGAGAAAGGGTCCAGACCTCTTCTCTCGTGTCCTACACTGTGAATGACTGTGCCTCTGTTTCCCAGAATCCTCCTCGACTCCTAGTCCCACCTATCTTGCTTCCCTATAGGCCAACAGTGCTTTATTTAATAAACCAATAAGACAAACATATACACAGAAGGACTTCCCCCATCATCTCCTCTTTTCTGTCTAAATAAAAAGAAAGGTTTTAACTGTAACATAGTCAAATTATATTTAACAGAACAGTTATCAAGTAAGAACTATAGTTACAATATTTAGTTCATTAACATTTGGTAAGATTTAAAGAAAGTATTTTATCTATCCTATCTTTTTGAGTCTAACGTCTTTATATATATGTGTGTGTGTATATATATATACATATATAAAAATAACTTATCTTCTATCATAACTAAGGAAAGCTATACTCTGATATATAATGTATATGTTAAAGTATCTTTTAAAAAAGTGGATGGGGGATGGAATAAGGGATTAATGGGGCATGAGAGGATGGGAAAGAGAGGGAACTGGGATTGATATGTGAAATAAGATTGTTTCCAATTTTAATAAAATTTATATAAAAAGATGAATTGGTTTTTAAAAAAGATCCAAAACCATCCTTTCTTATTCTCAGATGTGGTTTAGAAATCAACGAGACAAACTTCAGATACAGCAGCAAAACCATCAGTGGAGTTCATCTCTGGCAGCATCCAATCAGGTCAAGGTAGTGAGAAGAGCATCATCCAAGCAGGCTACTAGAGAGATGGGTGCATCATCCAGCCAGGCCAAGACAGAGATGGGTGCATCACCCAACCAGGTCAAGAGAGTGAAAAAATCATCATCCAACCAGGCACAGAGAGAGATGGGTGCATCATCCAGCCAGGCCAAGAGAGAGATGGGTGCATCATCCAGCCAGGCCAAGAGAGTGAAAAAATCATCATCCAACCAGGCACCAAGAGAGATGGATGCGCCACCCAACCAGGTCAAGAGAGTGAAAAAATCATCATCCAACAAGACCAAGGGGGTGAGAAGAGTGTCATCCAAGCAGTCCATGATAGAGATGGGTGCACCATCCGACCAGGCCAAGAGAGAGATGACTGTATCACCCAATCAGGCACAGAGAGAGATGACTGTATCACCCAATCAGGCACAGAGAGAGATGGGTGCATCATCCAATCAGGCACAGAGAGAGATGGGTGCATCATCCAATCAGGCACCGAGAGAGATGGGTGCATCATCCAGCCAGGCACCGAGAGAGATGGGTGCATCATCCAATCAGGCACCGAGAGAGATGACTGTATCACCCAATCAGGCACAGAGAGAGATGACTGTATCACCCAATCAGGCACCGAGAGAGATGGGCTGCATCATCCAATCAGGCACAGAGAGAGATGGGCGCATCATCCAGCCAGGCACCGAGAGAGATGGGCGCATCATCCAGCCAGGCACCGAGAGAGATGGGCGCATCATCCAATCAGGCACCGAGAGAGATGGGCGCATCATCCAATCAGGCACCGAGAGAGATGGGCGCATCATCCAATCAGGCACCGAGAGAGATGGGCGCATCATCCAATCAGGCACCGAGAGAGATGGGCGTATCATCCAATCAGGCACCGAGAGAGATGGGTGCATCATCCAGCCAGTCCAAGAGAGTGAGAAAAGCATCGTCCAACCAGGCCAAGAAAGTGAGAAGAGCGTCATCCAAGCAGGTGAAATCCCTGAAAGATGATGGGATTTTGGCACCCAAGGCTGACTATGCTCAGCTACTGAGTACCGGTATCTCAGACAACAGTGACCAGGAATCGTGGAAGAATTTTGGAACAATGCAACCTGAAGAGTCTGGTGCCTCTGCAGGGAAGTATGTGGAGCACTCCGAGCTTTTGGACATCTACCAAAGCAGCCTGGGGCTGGCCCAACCTCCCTGGGCATCTATGCCCTTTGACATAGACACATTTGTGAGAATTTATGACTTGCCTGGGGATAATAACCCCCAAGAATTTGATAAGTATCTCTACCCGGGGTGCCTTGACTGACCTACAAACCCATCTATAGCTTCGAGGAAAGACCTGAAAATTCAAAGCTCCCAGTTTTCCATGGGGAGATTACCAAAAGTCTGCTCTCACGCTCTTCTGGCTGAGTTCCCAAACTGCCTCTTCAGGGACTTAACTGGGCAGGGGTAGTAGTGATCCCACAGGCCTGAGCAGGTGCTGCACAGTTCCTAGAATTTTTTTCTTGGCTAACTCAAGCGTAGAAAACAGATGTACTGATTAAACCTGCTCTGGTGGCTACATTAAAATGACCCCCATTAAGGAAACGGCGATGGGGTGGGAGGCTGGGGGGGATGGTGGGGGGTGCAGGAGGAGGGGAGGGAGGGGGAACTGGGATTGACATGTAAAACAATTATTTAAAATTAAAATAATAAAAAAGAAAAAAAAAGATCCCCATTGGCTCATGTTTGAGTACTTGGTGCTTGGTCCCCAGTTAGCGGAAGTTGGAGCTGCAGCCTTGGAGGGTGGGCTTTGAAGTTTCAAAAGCCCCACGGCTCTAGTTTCTCTCTGCCTGCTGCCTGGGGGTCAGGATGCAGGCCTCTCAGCAGGTGCTCGGGTACCTTGCCTGTCTGCTCCCGCTATGATGACTATGGACTAACTCTATGAAGCTGTAAGCTAGCCCCAAGCAAATGCTTCCTTTTATCAGAGTTGCTTGGTCGTGGTGTCCCCGCTCCAATAAAACAGTAACTAAGATACTTTTGCATTCTGTTTATTTTTTTCCTGTGCTGAGGCTTAAGTTCAAGGACTCTACCATGCTAGACATGGATATACTACTATGGAGATATACATACCCCCAGCTCTGGTGGGGGATGTCCTTCTGTATGCCATGAATGTTTCTCTTATTGGTTGAGGAATAAAGCTGTTTCGGCCAATGAACAGGCAGGAAGCATAGGCAGGGTGGCCACACTAGAAGGCTGGGAAAAGGAACACAGAGAGTCGCCAGAGAGATGCCATGTAGCTGCTGAGGAAGAAAGGGACCCGGCATCACTGGTGAGCCAAGACCAAGTGGAGATACATATATTAATAGAAGCAGGTTAATAATTAAGAGAGAGCTATCCAAATAAGTCTGAGCCATCAGCCAAACAGTTTATAATTAATATGAACCTCTGTGTGTTTATTTGGGGCTAAATGGCTATGGCAGCAGGTGGGACAGAAACTTCATCTACATAGCTCCTCATGGGGGTTCTAGGCAGTGACTCTACCACTGAGCCACACCCCAGCCCCTCACTGGGGGATTCTAGGCAAGGGCTCTACCACTGAGCCACACCCCAGCCCCTCACTGGGGGATTCTAGGCAGGGGCTGTATCACTGAGCCACACCCCCAGCCTCTCACTGGGGAATTCTAGGCAAGGGCTCTACCACTGAGCCACACCCCAGCCCCTCACTGGGGGATTCTAGGCAAGGGCTCTACCACTGAGCCACACCCCCAGCCTCTCACTGGGGAATTCTAGGCAAGGGCTCTACCACTGAGCCACACCCCAGCCCCTCACTGGGGGATTCTAGGCAGGGCTCCACCACTGAGCCACACCCCCAGCCTCTCACTGGGGAATTCTAGGCAAGGGCTCTACCACTGAGCCACACCCCAGCCCCTCACTGGGGGATTCTAGGCAAGGGCTCTACCACTGAGCCACACCCCAGCCCCTCACTGGGGAATTCTAGGCAGTGACTCTACCACTGAGCCACACCCCAGTCCCTCACTGGGGGATTCTAGGCAGGGCTCCACCACTGAGTCATGACTCCAATACCCATTCATTATTCCTGGAAGGAGTTTGTTTCTGAGGGTCCTGACATTTATAGCTTCTATCTGAGAGACTGAATCCTAAACCTAGATCTGAAAGGGAATAGTGTAAGCATTACAGCTTGGATGGAAAGGTATCCTGGCAGTTGGGAGCTAAGCAACACCACAAAATCACACTGCACGACAAACCTCACACAAGAGATTTATTGGGAGGGAAAGGCCCAGGAGGATGGCTGCCTCTGCTTGGCCAGGAAGCAGCAGAGACCTGAACAGGAGGCAGGACTTATGGAGAGTTTCTTGGGGAGAGAGGTGGAACCTTTCACGGTGAAGCTTCCCAGGATGGAGATTGGTGGGATTTCAAGTCCAGAGGTTGGGCTTTTTACTCTTTAGAGTGGGGCAGGGTCCAGCCATTAAAGTTGCTAGAATGTTCTGTGGGTGGAACCTGGCTGGTGGTGATCCTGGGGGAGGTGCCTGGACTCTCATGTGACTCAAGGGCCTTACACTCCCCACTTTTTGCTTTTTATTGATAAACAATCAAGTCACAGAAGTTATCATTAGACCACTTCCTGATAAATTGAGGTGTCAAAGTCCTTTGGACAAACTTGATCTTCGCCATCAGGGTATAATCGGAAGTCACTGGCTTCTAGCTCTGGTAATCCTGTAATAGCGACAGATCAAAAGTCTGGTTAGACATCTTTTGAATCTGGCCGGGTGGTGGAGGTGCTCACCCCTTAATCCCAGCACTAGGGAGGCAGAGGCAGAGGCAGGAGGATCTCTGTGAGTTCAAGGCCAGCCTGGTCTACAGAGCGAGTTCCAGGACAGCTAAGGCTGTTACACAGAGAAAGCCTGTCTGGAAAAACAAAACAAAACAAAACAAACAAAAACAGAAATCTTTTGAATCTGTTGTTGAAGAAATCTAGACAAGAAGCCAGGGTGCAGCTAGCAGGATTAAGAGAAGGGGGAGAAAGGGAGTTAAGAAGGGTGCCAGTAAGCCATTGCTCAGAGACATCAACTGTTTCTTAAGTTTTTTGGAGATTCGTCTGTATGGTTAGCTACTGGCAAGCTCCATTCTCTGACTCCCAGACAGGCTGTATTTGTACAAGCAAGATATCACCACATATTCCCTTTTTTGTCTAAAATTAAAAAAGGTTGTAACTAATATAAGAAAAACTTTGTATAATAAGTACAATAATTATATACAATATATACATGGCAATGTCTAGTCCATAAGATTATGACAAATTCCAAGAAAATACTCCATTATGTATTCTTTTTTGATGAGTCCAAAGTCTTCTACCTAATTTACTTTCTATTCTAATTTGCATTATCAAGTTATCTTTTTTATTGTATTTTAATTTAAAATAGCTTGTTTTCCATGTCAATCCCAGTTCCCTCTCCCTCCCCTCCTCCTGCACCCCCCCACCATCCCCCCATCCTCCCACCCTATTGCCAATTCCTTCCACATAGGGGATATCTAGAGTCTGTCATTTCATTCAGGGTAAGGTCCAGGCACTTCCCTAAGAGTCCAGGCAGAGAGAGAGAGAGCAATCCTCTTTGTGTTATGGACACACGATGTCTGTTAGTATTCGAGGGATAAACACTGATCCACTGCTCAGGACCCCATAGGTAGCCCAGGCCTCCTCACTGACTCTCACATTCAGGGGGTCTGGATCGGCCCCATGCTGGCCTCCCCGCTGTCGGTCTGGGGTCCAAGAGCTCTCCCCTGTTAAGATCAGCTGTCTCTGCTGGTTTTGCCAGCCCATTCTTTGCCAATTTGCTCATCGCTCCTCTCTCTCTGTCACTGGGTTCCTTGGGTTCTGTTCAGTATTTAACTGTGGGTGTTTGCCTCTGCTTCCATCAGTCACTGGATGAAGGCTCCAGGATGGTTATAGACATCAAGTTCATTATCAGGAATGGTCATTCGAGGTGGTCTCTCCACTATTGCTTAGCTTGCCAATTGGTGTCATCCGTTTAGATCACTAGAGGTCACAATGGTGCCTGATCTGTCTTCTAACCTATGATTCCCTCTTCCCCCTATTCTACCACCCCAGCCAACCTTCCTGTTCCTCCACAACCTACTCTCTCTTCCTCTTCTCCCCCTCTCTATTTCCCAGGTCCCCCTCTTCCCCACCCCTCGCCGTGTTCCCCATCTGTTCAGAGGATCTTGCCTCATTTCTCTTCTCTTGGGTACCATGCATATCTTTTAGGTTCTTTCCTGTTTCCCAGACTCTCTGTCAGTGGAAGTGCAGACTGGCACTCTCCTGATCCATGTCTAAAATCCATATATGAGTGAGTACATACCATGTTTGTCTTTTTGCGACTGGGTTACCTCACTCAGGATGGTTCCTACCAGTACTATCCATTTACCTGCGAATTTCAAGATTCCATTTTTTTCTCCATTGTGTAAATGTACCACATTTTCTCTATCCACTCTTCAGTTGAGGGGCATCTAGGTTGCTTCCAGGTTCTGGCTATTACAAATAATGCTGCTGTGAACATAGTGGAGCAGATGCCCTTGTTGTATGAATTTGCCTCCTTTGGATATATGCCTAAGAGTGGAATGGCTGGGTCTTGTGGTAGATTGATTCCCATTTTCCTGAGGAATCTCCATACTGCTTTCCAAAGTGGCTGTATGAGTTGGCACTCCCACCAGCAGTAGAGGAGTGTTCCCCTCTCTCCACATCCTCTCCAGTATAAATTGTCTTCAGTGTTTTTGATTTTAGCCATTCTGACAGGAGTAAGATGGTATCTCAAAGTTGTTTTGATTTGCATTTCCCTGATGACTAAGGATGTTGAGCACTTTCTTAAGTGTCTCTTGGCCATTTTAACCTCCTCTATTGAGAATTCTCTGTTTAGTTCTGTACCCCACCTTTTAATTGGATCCTTTGGTGTTTTGGAGACTTGCTTCTTGAGTTCTTTGTAAATTTTAGAGATTAGCCCTCTGTCAGATGTGGGGTTAATGAATATCTTTTCCCATTCTGTGGGCTGCCTTTCTGTCTTGTTGACTGTGTCCTTTGCCTTACAGAACCTTTTTAGTTTCATGAAGGTCCCATTTGTTAATTGTCGATCTCAGCGTCTGTGCCACTGGTGTTATGTTCAGGAAGTGGTCTCCTGTACCAACTCATTGAAGAGTATCTCCCACTTTCTCTTCTAAAAGTTTCAGTGTGGCTGGATTTATGTTGAGATCTTTGATCCATTTGGACTTAAGTTTTGTGCAGGGCGATAGACATGAATCTATCTGCAGTCTTCTGCATACCAGTACCCAGTTATTCCAGCACCATTTGTTGAAGATGATTTCTTTTTTCCATTGTATAGTTTTAGCTTCTTTGTCAAAAATCAAGTGTTCATAGGTGTGTGGGTTCAAATCAGGGTTTTCAATTCGGTTCCATTGGTCTACCTGCCTATTTTTGTGCCAATACCAAGCTGTTTTCAGGACTATAGCTCTATAATAGAGCTTGAAGTCAGGTATGGTGATGCCTCCTGAAGTTCCTTTATTGTATAGGGTTGTTTTGGCTATCCTGGGCCTTTT